ATGGTTCCGCCCCTGCTTAAATTCATTTTCAAATATACGTTTTATGGTGCTCTCAACTTTTTATTCACATATTTCATTAGATTTTATCAATATTTTCTAAAATTTGATTTTTAGCCAAATTGAACAAAGACTAATTGCACGAAACAATAAGTCCATGTTTGGCCCCAATTTTTTAATTTTTATTCCTATATTCATTATCAAATCATATATTTCATGAAACGAACAACTTTTATCAACTTTATAATCACATAATTTATTAACTTTTATTAAAATCTACTAAAATTAAGATTTTTAGCCACACCAAACATAAGCTATGTTAGAATGAGTTGTGAAGAACAAGACGTTGATGACTCATTTTTATTTTTTTAATGCTTGTTGAATAGTTACTTTGACCTCTGACTATTTTAAGATTAAATTAGTGTTTGGACATATAAACGTGACCATTTTTAAATTAGAGTTGGACCTACAAATTAGTAGGAACATGTGAAGAGTGTTCATGTACCATACAGTCCATACAATCAATACAATAACACGAACATTATTAGTTATTTGAAGCGCCAAGAAAAATTGAAATTGAGAAAATATAAATTTGTAACTACAATTTTAATAAGACTACTTAAAGTGACGAGTTTATCAATCTATTCACAATTAAAAATCCCGATTGCTGCATACACATACATATGTATGTGTGTGCGCGCACAAAAAGAGAGAGAGAGAAGAAAACCACTTTTTAATTCGCATCAAACATGGGCTAAAATTGAGCAATTCGATTGAGATTTGGCGAAAGTTGTAATTTGTTGTTTATTTTACCCTAAGAGTATGTTAGAATGAATTTATTTTTCGTTAAAAATGTTATTTTTTCATTCAAATTCCTACTTTTGGACGTTTGATTAATAATTTATTTTTATGAAAAAGTATTTCCAACTTTTGATCACGTGACCACATTTTTCTCAAAAATAAGAAAAATATTTTCTCCAGGAAGGGATGATTTTTATTTTTCAGGTAATTCACTTTTTTTCTCTCATATTTGACCCCTCCCTTCTTTATCCATCAATAACAAATGGATACATATAATATTTTTTAGGTTAAAAATTACATTTATTTAATAATTTCCATACAAATATTTTATAAACAATTGATTTGTTTAAAATTTATTTTATTTTCATGCAAATTTCATATTTGCAATCAAATGCACCTAATCGAGTATCAAGAAAAATCCTTTTTTTATTTTGACATCGGTGGCCACAACCCAGACAAAATCCTATAATAACAGAAAAAATTTAAAATTAGTAAATTTAACCAATAATCACTGAACTTTACACTTGATTACTACTTGCTCACTCATCTTTCAAATATTACTGAATGATCACTCATCTTTTCATATAATTACTCATTCGCCACTCGTCTCTTCAAATAATTGGGCTACTTTTACGGCAAATTTTCGACAACTTCCGACCACAAAGAATGTCGAATTTTGATACCGTTGGAAAGCCCACAATGTCCTCTTCAATTACCACCTAAAATCTCATTATAACTCCAAGGGATTCAATCGAAAAATTGCCTTAAAATTCGCCCAAAAATTCTGAAAATCTGCCCAGATTTTCAGATTTTTTGGGCGACTTTTAAGGCAATTTTTCGGCAACTTTCGACCATCAAAACTATCTAATTTTGATACCATTGGAAAGCCCACAATGTCCTCTTCAATTACCCCCCAAAATTTCCCGATAACTCCAAAGGATTCGGTCGGAATAAATCCACAAAGTCAGCATCTTGAAAAGGCGAAAATCTGG